TAATTTTATTATTTTTTTGAACTTTTTTTATTAGTTCAAATTAGAAACAAACCTGCTTCACATGTCAATCCCTGCTCCCTCTTTCTCCCTTCCGCCCCCCACCAACCTTCACCCTATCCCCTCTCTGCTCCCCATGGAGGGCAAGGCCCCCAATGGGGGGGTCCCCAAAGTTTGTAATAGCATCCTGGGCAGGGCCTAGGTCCTCCCCTATGTGTCCAGGCTTAGAGAGCATCCCTCCATGTGGGATGGGCTTCTAAAGTCCCTTTGGATGCCAGGGATAAATACTGATCTACTACCAGAGGTCCCATTGAGTGCCGAGGCCTCCTCACTGACATCCACGTTCAGGGGTCTAGAACAGTCCTATGCTGGTCTCACAGCCATCTGTCTGGGGTCCATGCGCTTACCGTTGTACAGATCAGCTGTTTCTGTGGGTTTTACCAGTCCAGTCTTGACCTCTTTGCTCATCACTTTCCTCTCTCTCTGCAACTGGGTTCCACAGTTCAGTTCACAGTGTTTAGCTGTTGGTGTCTGCCTCTGCTTCCATCAGCCACTGGATAAAGGCTCTAGGGTGACATATAAGGTAGTAATTTTTTTCATGATAGGGGAAGGGCATTTAGGGTAGCCTCTCCACTATTGCTTAGATTGCCAGTTGGTGTCATCCTTGTAGATCTCTGGAATTCTCCCTAGTGCCAGATCTCTCCTGGAACCTATAATGGCTCACTCTATTATGGTATCTCTCATCCTGTTCTCTTCTATCCTTCCCCCGACTCAACCTTCCTGCTCCCCCATTTCTTTCTCTCCCCTCCTCTTCTCCACCTCTCTTTCTCCAAGCTCTCTCTCCCCTAACCCCATGCTCCCAGTTATCTCAGGAGATCCTGTCCCTGTTCCCTTCCCCTTCTCTGGGGACCATGCATTCTTCTCTCAGGGTCCTCTTTGTTTCCTAGTTCCTCTGGTGATGTGGATAGTAGGCTGGTAATCCTTTGCTCTGTGTCTAAAATCCATATATAAGTGAATACATGCCATATTTGTCTTTTTGTGACTAGGTTACCTCACTCAGGATGATTTCTTCTAGTTCCAGCCATTTGCCTGCAAATTTCAAGATTCCATTGCTTTTTTTCCACTGAGTAGTACTCCATTGTGTAAATGTACCACATTTTCTCTATCCATTCTTCAGTTGAGGGGTATCTAGGTTGCTTCCAGGTTCTGGCTATTACAAACAACGCAGCTATGAACATAGTTGAACATATGTCCTTGTTGTATGAATGTGCATTTTTTGGGTATATGCCCAAGAGAGGAATTTCTGGATCTTGAGGTAGACTGATTCCCATTTTCCTGAGAAACTGCCATACTGATTTCCAAAGTGGTTGTACAAGTTTGCACTCCCACCAGCAATGGAGGAGTGTTCCTCTTTCTCTACATCCTCTCCAGAATAGACTGTCATTGGTGTTTTTGATTTTAGCCATTCTGAGAGCAGAAAGATGGTATCTCAGAGTTGTTTTGAGTTGCATTTCCCTGATGGCTAAGGATGTTGAGCACTTTCTTAAGTGTCTTTCAGCTATTTTAGATTCCTCTGTTGAGAATTCTCTATTTAGTTCTGCACTCCACTTTTTAATTTCATTGTTTGGTGTTTTGGTGGCCAGTTTCTTGAGTTCATTGTATATTTTGGAAAACAGCCCTCTGTCAGATGTGGGGTTGATGAAGATCTTTTCCCATTCTGTGGACTGCAATTCTGTCTTGTTGACTGTGTCCTTTGCCTTACAGAAGCTTCTAAGTTTCAGGAGGTCCCACTTATTAATTGTCAATTTCAATGTTTGTGCTACTGGTGTTATGTTCAGGAATTGGTCTCCTGTACCAATTTGTTCAAGGGTACCTCTCACTTTCTCCTCTAAGAGGTTCAGTGTGGATAGATTTATGTTGAGGTCTTTGATCCATTTGGACTTATTTTTTTTAAGTGGAAATGTTCAATTCTTTAATTACTACTCATATTTACATATCTATCCCCCCATTCTCTTGCTCTCCCATCCTCCTCAGTTCCCTACCCATCCCCCCAACTCATCCCCTGGGATAGTGAAGCCCTCCACCAGGGACCTTCAAAGTCTGTCATATCATTTGGGGGAGGGCCTAGGCCCTCCTTGCTGTATCTGAGCTGCAATAGTATCCCTCCCTAGAGAAAGGGCACCCAAAGTCCATTTGTGCTCTAGGGTTAAAGACTGGCTCCACTGTTAGAGGTCCCATAGGCTGTTTTGGCCTCCTAGCTGGCACCCAAATTCAGAGGACTTAGTTTGGTCTAATGTTGTTTCCCCAGCTAGTCATAAACTTGGACTTAAGTTTTGTGTATGGTGATAGATATGGATCTATCAGCAATTTTCTACATGTCCGAATCCAGTTATGCCAGCATCATTTCTTGAAGATGCTTTCTTTTTTTCCATTGTATAAATTTAGATTCTTTGTCAAAAATCAGGTGTTTGTAGGTCTACTTTTGTGCCAATACCAAGCTGTTTTCAGGACAATAGCTCTATAATAAATCCTGAAGTCAGGGATGGTGATGCCTCCAGATGTTCCTTTATTGTACAGGGTTGTTTTGGATATCCTGGGTTTTTTATTTTTGCATATAAAGTTGAGTACTATTCTTTTAAGGTCTGTGAAGAACTGTCTTGAGATTTTGATGGGGATGGCATTGAATCTGTAGATTGATTTTGGCAAGATTGCCATTTTTACTATGTTGATCCTTTCTATCCAAGAGCATGGGAGATCTTTTCATTTTGTGGTATCTTCTTTAATTCCTTTCTTTAAAGTCTCAAAATTCTTATGATATAGGTCTTTCACTTGTTTGGTTAGCATTACCCCAAGATACTTTGTTGTTTGGGGAGGCTATAATTACCTTGATATCCAAGCCACAAAAAGACACAACTAAAAAAGATAACTACAGACCAATATCCCTCATGAACATTGATGCAAAAATACTCAACAAAACACTGGCAAATCGAATCCAAGAACACATCAGAAAAATCATCCATCTTGATCAAGTAGGCTTCATCACAGGGATGCAGGGATGGTTCAACATTTGAAAATTCATCAATGTAATCCATCATATAAACAAACTGAAAAAGAAAAACCACATGATCATCTCACTAGATGCTGAAAAAGCCTTTGACAAAATACAACATCCCTTCATTATAAAGATCTTGGACAGAACAGGAATAACAGTACATACCTAAACATGATAAAAGCAATATGCAGCAAGCAAACTAAATGGAGAGAAACTCAACATGATTCCTCTAAAATCAGGAACAAGACAAGGATGTCCACTCTCTCCGTATCTCTCCAATATTGTACTTGAAGTTCTAGCTTGAGCAATAAAATAATAAAAGGAGATCAAGGGGATACAAATTGGAAAGGAAGAAGTCAAACTTTCACTATTTGCAGATGATATGATTGTCTACATAAGTGACCCAAAAAACTCTACCAGGGAACTCCTACATCTGATAAACACCTTCAGCAAAGAGGCAGGATACAAAATTAACTAAAAAAAAAATCAGTAACTATATACAGATGATAACCGCAATGAGAAAGAAATCAGAAAAACATCACCCTTTACAATAGCCACAAACAAAATAAAATATCTTGGGGGGTGGTTCTGTCTTTTTTTTTTTTTTTTTAGTACCTCACAAACATGTTTTTATGAGTTCAAAGTTGATTGCATTTATGTGCTTTTCAGTCATTATACAATGTGCAGACATGATCAACTGGGTGACTTATGCTTCTCAAATGGTTGAACAATGATTTCCCATAAATACTAGACAAAAAGCTTCTCAAAGCAGAGTACTTTTTCCTGCAAAAAATCAACTTCAGGCATACATTTGTGTTTATATATATTCCTTGAGAATGCCACATTAGCAGTGCATAAAATTTATTAAAAAGAGCTAAAAGAGAAATCTATTTTCAAGAGACTCAATGCATTGTGCTTTCAAATAAAAAATCCTAGGACAAAAGATTAGTTGCTGTGACAAGAACAGTTAAAACTGCACAGATGTCAGAGGTTAGAAAATGCTATAAAGAAATGGAAATAGTTGTGCTTAGGGGACATTTTTGGTAATTTTTTAAATAAATAAAAACGTAAAAAATGTCTCAGTGACTGATACAAAATAGACACAGATATCTAGGGCTTTCTCTACTTGGTTTAGAGTTTGAAGGTGAAAAAAATCATGTCCTTGGAAACTAACTGTCATCTGACATTCCTAATCAGGGCAAGTCACTTACACTCAGGCAAGCAAGGGAATTGGGAGAAAACCAAAAGGTTATTTTCCCCTTAATAACCTCTGGCTTAACCAGAGGTAAAGCCAGGATGAACATACTAAATTTACAAAATTCCCACCTTCCTTTAGAACTCTCAGGCCAAACAGAGAAGCCAGCTTGCTTCTATGAGGTGCCTGGTGTCCAGACCACAGCCTGGTCTGTGGTTCATAAGATGATTTAAATACAACTTATGTTCTGTGAGCCTCTAGGGTAAGTGTGACCCCCCAGTAAGTACCTTACCTCTAGGGTAAGCGTGACCCCCTCAGTAAGTACTTTACCTCTAGGGTAAGTGTGACCCCTCTGTAAGTACCTTGTTTTCTGAACCCTCTCACACGCTGACTGTAACATACTTGCTTTAAAAACACTACAGCAACTCCTTGCAACGATATAGGAAGATTTATGATTTACATAGTAATGTTGATACGTGGGTCTAGTCTTTTCAAGCTGGTCAGTTGCTCATTTAGGTCTTAAACTTTGAAGGACCCATGACCCTTATCAAAGTGAATTAGACAAAAAAAGATGAAAAATAACATTGAAAGTTATTTGCACAATAGGTATAGATTTTAAAAGAATTTCTTCAAATAATTCCCTATGTATCACTCAGAAGTATATTTTTGTTGTCTGTAACATAAAGTGCTGGAGTCCTTCAAATAAAATTATAGACTAATTGAAAATATATACTACACATTTGCAGTTACTTGAAATCATTCAGTATTTTGTAGTGTGTTAATGGAGTAAAATAGAGATAAAAGGCAGTCCACATTCATATTTAAGATAAATTTCCTTCAGAAGTCAGTTTTAATCCTTGCTCATGTTCTAAGTATAGCCATTGTGATAAGACCTAAGATATAAGCAGCTACTAATTTTTGATTCACACTTAAGTGGAGGTAGAGAGGCACCAGCGATTCCATATCCCCAGAGTAGGCAGCATCAGGGCCACAATACATACCACTCCCAGTAAGACAGTTAGCAAGCTAGGTCCTGAAGAGACAGTTATGTTTTCTGGTTGACATGATTGCTCAAAGAATACACTTTCGGTTAAATGTTCCTTTATTCTTCTCTCCTCTTCTTCCTTCTGTTGTTCTTTCGCGGATGGGAGAAGAGTAGCGATAACCTCTTTCCTTCCTAAAGCCTTCCTCTGGCTTTGCTCTGAGACTTGGAGGCAGAATTTGTCTATCACACCATAGTGACAGGATCGAACATCTCTATGACGAATCACAATTTCCACACAGCACTGAGGCTTCACTGCACCTGCGGCGTCAACAACAACATACTTATTTGGAGTCGTACATAAAACTTTGAACTTTAAGGCAAACTCATAGGGGTTGTACAGTGTCAACACTTGCTTATGTGTTGACTGATCATCTGCGTAAAATATCAGCTCCGTGGGAAACACAAAAACAGGAAGATTTCCTTCCACTAACTCTGGTTGTCTTTTTTGTTGATGCATTGGCACTGAATCCCCCTCGCTGAGCTTCCGTCTTTATAGTCTCAAATCTATTTTGGACTTTCTTAGATTCAGTTAAAAACTCCAAAGCATTTTGGCAATCTCAGTAACAGTGGCTCCTTCCAAAGCAGCTGCGACTGCTCCTTGCTCCTTTGTCAGCGTCTCCAGACTGCTGTGGTTCTGTCTTTTAAGGGATCCTTTGCACCTTCATGCAGACTACACAATCAGGGAACTCTGGGCTGACCAGGGTGCTGCCTGAGTGCATTGTGCCAGGTGACAGGGGCAGGACAGCATAATGACTGAGTCTGATTGTAGAAAGTGACGTTATATTCTGAGGGTGAGCTCACCATTTTAAAGAAGGTTCTGGCAACACTACCTACTGCACAGAGTTGGTAAATCCCTTCATCATGTGGAGAAGGGTAGCTCGAATTTAACGTCTTAATTAGTGACAGGATTTTTATGTGTTCTTCACTGCTTCTTGAGAGGCTTCTGAAATAATGTACTGCAATTATCTTGCTTTCCAAAATTTGCAGTTCAGTGCATTTTTATTATTTGGAGAGCAAAGTTTTGGGTGATCTCTTTGGCTTTTTCTTTGGAGCTAAAGCAAAGCCAGAGCCAGGAGGTAAGAGGCGGGTTCAGATAAGGAATGGGAAGGAGGATCTAAGGGTTTAGGGTGTCCTTTGTCACCAGCTCTCCAGGCTGCCTCTGAAAAGGAATCACACTGGTTACATGATTTTATGTATGTATTTATAAAGGCGAGAGTTTAACTTGCTGGGAAATCAATTCGGTAAATTAAAGCCACACACTAGTTCTGCCCCTTTCTTTTTACAACTGAATGTGTGCATAAATCTAGAGACTAGAGAGTGCAAAGCTAGGGGCCAGATAAATAGCAGTAATAACAAATGCCAAATGAGGAGAGAGAAGCAGAAAGTGGAGTGTAAGTATAACACAGAGAGAAAGAGGTGCCAGTGGAACCAACTGATGGAGAAAGAAACCTCACGGTCAGGGGTAAGGAACAAGGGTGCCATAGACTGGCTCACTTTTCCTCAGTAAAGTTTGGAGAGCTTAAAATAAGAAACACAATCATACTTCACGAGTAGTGACTTATTCACCACTCCTAAAGTTGAGTTGGTCTTGAAGTATTTTCTATACACAACCAATACTACTTGCAGTATAATTATACTGTCACCAACCATCTTGGATCCTTCTGTTCTGACTGGCTGGAAATCATGAGTAGGTGAGAAGAAACTCCTCCAGTGTTGTCAGGGCTGGGCCCTTGAGAGCCCAAGACCTAGTTCTGATAGCCAGGGGGCTATGGTTACAGGATTTAGAAGCCAGAGAGTTATGGCTCTAGGCACTCAGATGGGAGGATTGTTTCTGTGGGTTTTAATTACCAGTGGCTCTAGCATTTGGCAGCTATGTAATTCTAGCAGCAGTGAGGGCCTACAGCAGGCTCCCCTGATGAGCTGCATAGATCTGTGAGTATAAGGATAAGCATTTCAGATGTAGCTGGAATCATGGTGGTTTAGATGAGAGTAGGCTATCCTCTAAGAGCCACCATCGTACTCATTAGTCTGGGGTAGGTGACTAGGGTTCCAGTTCTAGGCATGATTTCCCACTTGCAGAGTGTGTGTTAATCTGACTAGATATGAGTAGCTTTATTGTACCTTTGGGGTATCTTGTCATGTTGGTCCATTGTTGTGGTTCAAAGACATCACAGTTGGGTAGAGCAATTAGTTCTTTCCTCCCTTGTAAGCTTGTATCATACTTTCTGGTGTTCAAAGTGCATGGAGTCTTCAACAATAGAGACTTCCCTTCAGTCTCTAGAAGGCTACAATGGACAACACTAACCTATACTGTCTGAGAGTCTCTTGGACATCCCTCATCAACAACTTGAAGGGAGTTTCTCATGTCTGATGCTAGCTAGAGACTAAGTTGGTCAATTAACCAAACATAATAGGTAGGGTTTAAATATACAAGATATCTTACTACATATACTAGTTACAATGGGTAGGTTTAAAAATACCAGGTAAACAGGTAGGATTTAAATATACTAGATATCAAACAAACATAGGACTTTGGACTTTGGCTGAAATGTAATAATACTGTTGTTTTTGTTATGATCATAGCCCTTTACTTTGTATGCAAGTCTGAACTCACTAGAAATAACTGGTACAGAACATTTGCTTCAATGGCAGAGTGGGCTTTCCCTGACTCATTCCTGTGGATGGGTGCATTTGAACTGTCTTAAAGAACTGATAGAAGTTTCACAGGTCCTTTCAGTTTAGATAGCAAAGTGTAGCTGCTATAGTAGGCACAGATAGCAAAGTATCCTGGTAGCTTGTGCTACAGTAGGCACCGGAGTGTGTAGATATTGATCTCCTCAGCCACTGAAGCAGCTGGGAGGTGCTTGGGAATGACCTAGAACCTTTAGCTATCAGCCGCATAGGAGCTGCTTTATCTACTATTCCAGGATGTGGGGCAAACACTGCTTTCTGTGAGTCAAGATTTGCTCAATATTAGAAAGCTCTGTGATAGTAGATCCAAACTTCATTTTAGTTTTTTCCTCTTTGCACATGCATGTGTGTGCTTGTGCATGTGTGCATGTGTGTATAGGCCCAAGGTTGATATAAGGAGTCTCCCTTGCTGGTTTTTCATCTTATTCATTGAGGCAGGCCCTCGAAATTGAACTCAGAGCTTGCCTATCTGGTAGTCTAGTTAGTCATCTTGCTTTGGGGATTGTCTGTCACTATCTGCTGAGTACTGGAACTACAGTAGGCAAGCTGCCATGTCTACCCAGCACTCTGGGTAGTCTCTGGGGATCCAGACTCCTATCCTCTCACTTGTGTGGTGAGTGATTTATTCACCAGATCATCGCCTTAGCCTTCATTTTACTTCTAAAAAGAAATGGGCTTCCACTCAAGTGAAAGGAAAATAAACGAAGAAATGTAGTGTTCTTCCTCCCAGGAGCCCTTGTGCTGGTGATTGTGTCATCACAATTTCCATGTTTCCATCAGAAATTTAGTTTATCACCATCTTTGCTTTAGGTGCACTAAACCAGCATTTCCTAATTAAGAATTTCATATTAGTTAAGGATTTAAAATCCTCTTTGTTATGATTGGTAACAAAACCTGGGACATTTAAACAGGAGGTTGTTGTTTTATCTTCAAGCTGTACATGTCTTCCCAGTGTTATTTTCTTTTGACAAATAAAGTTGCTGAAAAATGCTTTCATTCTGAAACACTGATAAGCCAAGTATGACACAATTATTATTTCCTCAGATGGCATCATGTTCTAGTACCCCCACTTCCCATTTCTTATTGGTTATTGGATGCCCTCGTTCTTTATTGTCATGCTCTCAGCACTACAGCAACAGGAGCATGCCATTAAGACACTCAAGGTCCTTCGTCTTACTCAGTTTCTTGAGTCACAAACAATGTGAGAAAGACACTGAAGTTCATAGACAGAGTTACAGTGGGACTTACAGTCGTGTTTCTATTGTTGCCCCGGTGTTACAGAGAGTCCTTTAAATATGCATTCATAGTTCATCATTTTGCTGACAAGAATTGGATTCACAGATTCAATGACAGTGCTTTTTGGAGTCCATGTAAAGCATGCTTAGGTTTGCATCACAACGTACGTTGCCCCCCTCTTTTTTTTTTTAGAAAGCTAAAGGCTTCCTTGATTTCTTCAGGAAAAAAATAGATGATGTAGTTTAGTGGAATAAAAGTTATGGTGGCAGAATGTATAAATAGTGTGCGAATGCTTGTCATTAGTGATTCTGTTAGAGCCAGTACTTCACAAGTGATTGTAAATAATGAGTCACAATCATGAATACATTCCTGACCTTATGCAAATGACAGGGCTGAGAGGTAGCAAAGGTGCCAGGTAAGTCCCCTGATGGGAGAAGTGCTTCTGTGTAGGTGTTTGTCTTACTGGATGATAAATAAAGTACTGTTTGGCCAATGAGGCAGCAAGTTAGGCAGGACTAGGAGTCAAGGAGGATTCTGGGAAATGTAGTAAAGAAGTGGTGATCTAGGCAGGAAATGACATAGCAGGGAGACTGATATATGAACAAGGGCAAGAAGAAAGTGGCCCTCTCTCTGCCTCCAGAGTCGTCATGTGATCCACTGGCAAGTGAGGATGCCAATGGAAGGTATTCGATAAGATAAGTCTTATAAAATATATAGATTTATGATAATTAAGACTGACCTAACAGATGAGAATCCTAGTCATTGGCCAAGCAGCATTTGTACCTAATATAAGTCTCTGTGCATTAATTGGGGCCCTAACTCAGCGGGCAGAACTCAGACAGCTGTCGGAAACCGCCCACATGGTGGTAGGGCTCAGGCAGCTTTTGGTGCAAAGATTTATCATAACAGTTCCCATTGCTGACAACATTATGCATTTCAGATACAGAGTCCAGAAAGCCCTGAGCTAGAACTAACTGAATGGCTCCTGCCTAAGGACTGATTTGAAAGCAGTTTCTGTGAGGACTAGCTGTCATGGTACCAGAAGGTGCTATGCAAGCTTCCAAAGGAAGGAAGTAACCAACATGCTTACCAGCTGCCAAATTTATGAACCTCCACAACAACCATCATCATGCAATAACCCTAACGATGTGTGTGGTAGTGACATGCATGTCTTAGCTGTAACTAACAACTCTCTAATTGGACATAAGACCCACTCAACGAGAAGGAAATCATGTCTGGTACTAGAAACCTAGCCAACTAGTGAAGCCATGGATCTTGGAGGAGAACCTACACTTGACTTAAACCAGCATAATCCCCAACTACATTCTAAATATTCATCCTTACCTCCACAGGTAAGTGTAGTTCTTATTTTTCATCAAGAAAATTTTTCTTTGCAACAGACAAAGCCCCGAAAAAATACATACAAATAATATTATAAGACTGAGTAGGTTATATTTAGGAATATATGTATATCTATAGACACATATGCATGTAATAAGGAATTAATAACCAAAAGACTGAATTTGGTAGAGAACAAGGAAGGAGTACATGGGGCGGATTTGGAGGGAGGAAGGAGAAGGGAAAAATGATGCAATTACAATCTCAAAAATAAAAGAAATAATTTTTAAAGAGTTTAATCATTGATTGGAAATAGAAAGGGAATGTGTATAAGATGAAGCTAGGCAACCACAATT